ATATATATATATATATATATATATATATATATATATATATGAATATCACTGAACTCACAATAACATAACAAGAACAATGACTTATAAAATACATGTGGGAATATCTCTAAAAGCGGATTTAGTGGCATATCTCACCCACAGATCACTGAAAGATACTATTACACACATCTTTACTGATATTAGCAAACGGATATGGAGCACTAAAGGAAATTATTTTAAACACACAGTACAATTATGAGCTACACAATTATTAAAACAATGTATAAATACCTTTATCCATCTTTACTGAACATTGATATAACAATGTATGGTTATACAAATATAAAATACCACTACATTTACATTTACATTTACATTTAGTTATGTAGGGGTTTTACCAGAATGTTGTCTGCAATACAATTGCGTGTGTAAATTAAGTCAAGTTGGTTGCCTGATTTGTGCGTGCTTGTAGTGGTAAGTCGTTTGAGATCAAATGAAGCAAGGAGTGAATGGAAGTCTGTAGCATAAGGCTTGTCCAGATGAATGTTGAAGTCGCCAAAGACTAAAAGTGGACTGCCATCCACTAACAGCAGCTATAACTGTCTGCTATACAGGATTATGCATGTACCTTAACGTATAGCATTGTTATTCAATTGTATACATTGTCTCATCAAAAAAAAAAAAAAAATCATCCTACACATTCTGGAAATCAGAAAGATTTATTGTCTATTCATTGTGTATTTGGTCCTCCACAAAGTCATTGGCAAAGTTAACAATATTTTGCAAAGCATCTAAAATCAGAACATCCATTGTGGCATTAGTGACACGTTCCTCATGGTAGTTCTTCACAGGATAAATGCAAGTCATAGGAACTCCTAGTCTGGAAGAACACTCCTCCATCTGCAAAGAGAATATATATATATACTTTTTATATACAGATGACAGAAAATAAAAGGACAAAGAATATAGGTCACACCTAATCTGCCACATGGAATATGTAATGAGACTGAATCCCACATTAATCATCTAATATCATATATCAAAACCTTTAATTTTCCATGTAAAATATAATAAACTCTATTATATCAGTGCCAAATTTACCTTGGTCGCAAATTTAAAGTACTATACCTTCTGTTTTATGATTTTGCTTTTGTAGATATTCTCAAGATTATCTTTAACTAGTGGACACACTTCATCCACCTTGGTCATAATTATGGCTTGCGGAATGCCTGTGATACAATGAATTATAAATATTCCACAATATAACATATAGAAAATTTACTGATGATATTGATAATTTTACGTCCCCTTTGTATTTTAGTATGGTGTGCAGCTTTCTCAATGATTATTGACTGTTTATATTATTTGTGATACTCATCCACCCAACATATTGTTTTTGTGAATAAAGATGTAAATTCAATATGACTCACCCAGATCTCGTGCTTTGTCCCGAACTGCTCCCATTTTCCCAAATACCTCCTCAAGCATCACAGAAACAGTATTAGCAGGAAGAACAGCCACCAGACAGTGAATCTTGTCTTTCAGTATGGGGTTTCTTTTGTATTTTTGGTCGCCTTCAGTAATTGAACTTACTGGGTTAAACTGAGCAGACAGAATCAGTAAATAAACTACAAGTGCATCATATAAAAAAAGAAAGAAAGAAAAGATAAAAACATTCAAGTGGTAATAAACCACTTGAAATGTTGTAGTATTGCAATCATGATACATTTTTGCACTAAAAATCAATCAGTTCATCCACAATTCCAGAATTTCAACAAATTTAAAAGATTGTTCTAGTTGCTCTGCATGCATTTATTTTCACCGGTTTCTTTATCATGTAGCTATTGTAAAGTTTACTACAACATTTTATGAAAAGTCTTAATGCTTACATTTCTTAAATTAAATATACGTACAGTGTAACCATCGATGATGTGACCATTTAATAATCTGTTGATGTCATCAGTCTTTATTGAGTTACTTTCATTGTGCATACCAGCAATGTCAGTGAAGGTGAAAGGATAAAAAGAGCCAGCCTTGTCCTTCCTCATTTTGTATGTGTTGCACTGAAAATAAAATCCAAACATTGTTTGTTGTTTTGTTTGTTACTTTAAACAGTATATGTATAAGAGATAACTGAGGACTTAAATACATAACAATGCTGATCAATGGGACAAGAAACAGGTGTGTAACTTAATCAGAAACCATGGCAACAAAACGAACAAGAATAAGACTTACAGATACAAGGAATCAAAGCCAAACAGAACATGACTGTGACTTTGCTTCCCTCTCCCAGAAGAAATGCCCTTGCAAATAACAAGTCAAACGGGGCAGGGGCGGGGGAGCATGAAGAGCTGTACACATACAAGTGGCAGGATTTTAAGTATATGAACATCGCTACCAAATCCACCTGTGATTTGCTGCTTTCCGTGTGCCACTCATTGATAGAGGTGTGACGAGATCTTGAGCCACGAGATCTCACAATATTATAGTGTGACGATATTTCTTGTCAAGGTGAAAAGCTGTCTCGTGATATCAGCATGAGAGTGTAAGGGTGAAATTAGCATAGGCCATAACCCTGTATGTTTGTTTATTTATATATATATATATATATATATATATATATATATAAGATATAATGTAGTCAAGTAATATCACATAAGCAAGAGTGAAAAGAGTGCTGAGCGCAATCGTAAATGTGATATTGATTTTATATAACAGTTCAACAAACAAGAAGTTAATATTGAGTGAGTTACATAATAGACACAACATTGTCTTTTTTTTGTTTCACCAATGAAAATAGTTCCAAACAAAGCCTGAGCAGAACATTTGGGCATCTCAGAGCAACACTGTGGTGGTTAATTCCTGAATGAATCTGTTTTTGAACAAATGGATTGAGTCAATGATTCAATGATCCATTCATTAAGACAGTTACTTGCTTTGTTTCTAAATGACAAACACTGAACATGAATTCAGCACAGCTGTCGAGGCTGTTACTTTACAAATAAATCTGCTAACCATTCTTTTTACAAAGACTTGTTGATAAGGGTTGATACTAGTAAATAATGCTATACTGCCCAATTAAACTCACTTAATAATTAATTACCTTTGTAACACTTCACATTAAGGTTCCCTTTATAAAGCGTTTATAAAGGTGTTCATAAATGACTAATAACTAATTTACAAATACATTATAACTCATTGATATGCCGTTATAAATGCATGAATAAAAGGGTGATTTTGATGCAATACCTGCCAAATAGTGAGCCAATTTAACTCACATGTTATAAATGCTTAACAAATATATTTATTAATACTTATTTCACTCAAAACCAGATTCCTGATTTATTTCATGAGGCAGCAAAAAATTTACTATTATAGCAAGACTGAAGGGTGTTGTATTTATGGTTTTCTCATTTATATCTCATGACTTATGTCACTTACAATGTTTCTTACCAGAATCTTACCAGAATCTACTCTGTACCTCCGCAAAGTTCATGATGCCTATCCACAGCAATGATTAGAAACTGATATATTTTGTTTATCAAGATGAAATTATCATCTTGAATTTTATTTTGGGGGAAAAATCATAAAAGCACAACCATGACTAGATGATATAATATTGAAAATTTTAATTTCAGTATTACCTGTGAACATTAATGTAATGATCCATTTATTAATGATTTATAAACATTAGTAACCTGTGAAAGTGAACCTTAATGTAAAGTGATCACCTATGAACATTTATTAATGAGTTATAAACGTTAGTAACCTGTGAAAGCTAACCTTAATGTTAAGTGATCACCTGTGAACCATTTATTAATGAGTTATAAACGTTAGTAACCTGTGAAAGCGAACCCTAATGTAAAGTGAACACCTGTGAACTATTTATTAATGAATTATAAATGTCAGTAACCTGTGAAAGCGAACCTTAATGTAAAGTGATCACCTGTGAGCCATTTATTAATGAGCTATAAACATTAGTAACCTGTGAAAGCTAACCTTAATGTAAAGTGAACACCTGTGAAACATTTATTAATGAGGTATAAACGTTAGTAACCTGTGAAAGTGAACCTGTAAAGTGAACAGCTGTGAACCATTTATTAATGAGTTATAAATGTTAATAACCTGTGAAAGCGAACCTTAATGTAAAGTGAACACCTGTGAACCATTTTATTAATGAGTTACAAACGTTAATAACCTGTGAAAGCGAACCTGTAAAGTGAACACAGCTGTGAACTATTTATTAATGAGTATTAAACATTAGTAACCAGTCAAAGTGAACTTTAATGTAAAGTGGACACAATAATAATTTATTTATTGATTGATTGATTATTATTGCACACACAGAAAAGGTTAGTATTTTCTGGTGAAATAAATTGTATTGTGGTTGCACTACATCAGCAAACAACTTTCAACTTGAAACAAAAAGATTAATCTTTTCTTTTACAGCACACTGGAACATTACTGAGCATAACTTCACACAATAAAGTGGCTTATAAAAGTAAACTCACATTATAACTAAGCATGAAATCTATACAACAACAATATTTGATAAATGCAAACTCAATAAAGGCACCTAAATATTTTTATTTTATATAATTTAACAGTTTTGAGAAAATAATTAAATCAATGACTGAAAGCACAGTTACAGAAGATTATCATATTAATAAGTAATCAGTAATTACTTTTTGATATCATGATAAAGCCCACTGTAACTTCAGTATTTGTTCATCCACACTCTCAGTAACGTTACCTGCGCACGAGCGAACCGTCCGTGGGAGCGCGGGAGAGGTTATTTATTTGTATGGTAATGAATCAATTCAACTAGCAAAGCAATTACACATATAAACACTTGAAAAATATACTCTGCAGTGTCACCTCACAGTTAGCGGACCCGTAAAATTAATAAACACTATGTGAGATTATAATTTTGCGTCAGAGCACGTTGGAACAATCCTAACAGCGTGACTTCTTCTTCTTTTTTGAAAACGTGACTTTACATCGGATGCTCGCTAGCTCCAACTACAGACTTTGGTGACACACAGGCAACTACAGATACATTCATCAGAGGAGGACAGGAAGAAGAAGAGGACGAAAAGGAAGGGGAAAGGAAAAAAGTATGGGAAGAAGTCAAAGAAAATGGAAATGAAGACACGTCAGAGAGGTTAGAATGCTGTTTACACCCTTTCCACTCACTGAGTTATGGTTTGCCATTGGTTATGTCTGCTGTACATCTGTTTCTCTCTTGGCTGGTTCTTCCTGCATGATGTCACATTGTGTGTGCCATAAAAACTGCATTGGTGATTTAGTGGGATAACATGGTAGACCATCTACATTAGCTTCAACACTTTTTTGATGTTTTGTTAAATCCTTCTAAAAGACTTAAAGGGTTAGTTCACCCAAAAATGAAATTAGTCTGTGTTTTACTCACCCCCAAGGCATCCTAGGTGTATATGACTTTCTTCTTTCAGACGAATCCAGTTGGAGTTATATAAAAAATTGTCCTGGCTATTCCAAGCTCTATCATTGCAGTCAGCGGGTGTTGCAGTGCTTCAGTCCCAAAGAAGTGGAAAAAAACACACCCATCCAAAAAGAAAAAAAGTGTCTAACTATATGGCTCCACGTTATCATCCACACTATCTTCTCTAATACATTAGAAGCTGTTGCCCCCATCAAATTGAAAAAGGTTAGAGAAAAACGTACTGCGTCATAGTACAACAGTAATACCCATTCTCTCAATAAGAAAACTCGTAGTCTTGACCGCAAATGGAGAAAAACTAACTCCTTCCTGATAACGTTCGGGGTTCAGACACACTCTCTCTGTTTAAATCTAGATTAAAGACACATCTCTTTGGACAAGCATTCAAATAATGCATCTCATAATCTTGTACTGCAGTTATATCTGATCACATGCACATTATTAATCTCTAGTTTGGGTTAAACAAATCAATTTTGCTTGGTTTGAACAGCAGCTATGTTAATTATGTCTCCATTTGTTTCTCTGTTTTTGCCACGGGATTGACATCATATTCCCTCACAGTTTAATAGTAATGATTTTATGAATTTCTTCACTGATAAAATAGATAACATCAGAAAGACAATGACAAATGTAGATTCTACAGCGTATAATACTTCATTCATCGCACCAAAAGATAAACTGCAGTGCTTTACAACTAGGACAGTAAGAGCTAAATAAACTTATCACTGCATCTAAATCAACAACATGCCTGTTAGATCCTGTACCCACTAAATTACTGAAAGAGTTGTTACCTGTAGCAGAAGAACCGCTTCTCAATATTATTAACTCGTCGTTGTCTTTAGGTCACGTCCCAAAACCATTCAAACTGGCGGTTATTAAGCCTCTTATGATTGGATTCATCTGAAAGAAGAAAGTCATATACACCTAGGATGCCTCTGGGTTGAGTAAAACACAGCCTAATTTTCATTTTTGGGTGAACTAACCCTTTAAAACAAAATGAGAGGGTGACTTAAGCTGCATTTATTGCATTAAATCATAACTTAATAAGCTACCATTTACTTCACTCTGGAAGAACTTACAGCAAACTACAGAAACTACCCTTAAGATAAATATTCTTTGGTTAGCTAAAGCACTGTTAAAAAAAAAAATAAATAAAATCAGAGCCACATGGCAAAAACATTTTTTTTTTTTTAAATTTGCACACTCTGTGTCATATTGTAGATTGGAACAATCTATGAGTCAAATGTGTGTGTGTGTCAAAGGGTGTGCAAGAATAATTAAACCAACTACTAACACTTATTCTGTTTTCTTTGAATTACAGCTCAAACACCACAACAGGTGGTGGCCCGATACAAAAAAAATTATTCAGCACTTCAGTAGGGGAGGGACCATGTCAGCTGCTTTCAAGTTTTCAGATTGCAATCAGATTGCAGATTCATTTTGGTGCACAGTTATGTTTTCTGGAGGTGTACAGGATTTCAAATTTTTCTATGGCATTGCAGAGGTTTATTTTTCATTTTATATGAGGTGTACAGTTGTACAGTGTAATTGTTTTTAATGAAAATAAATATGTCTATGTTCTGTATCCCTCTGTGTTGTGTTTCTTTCCTTTTTCTGTTTAGAAGATAACTGAGCCTTTAAATCTCATTTGTAAATGCTTTACAAGGCATAAATAGTCCTCACTTTAGATGAGCTCACAAAAATAGTTAACTGACAAGTATTAAATGTTTTATAACTACCTGAATTAATCACGAATATGTGTTAATAAAGCATTAATTAACACACTGAGTAATTGTTACTTTATGCCTGAATAATAAGATGTATAAATTAACATTCAAATAGTTTATTAATCACTTATACTTTCTAAATGATCTCATGAACCACTGATAACTCCTTACTAACTGGTTTGTAAATAATGTAATACTTAATTTAGAAATGATAAATTGATCATTAATAAAGTATGAAAATACAATTATTAAGCATATTATATACATGCTTATAAATGAAGAATAAAGCATTTATAGCTGTATTTATAAACTGCTTACTAATGTCTATTAATGTCGGGACAATGCTTTATAAATGATGAATTAACTATTTACTGATGCTTAACTAATGATTCATAGCATGCAGTTATTATAAAGTGTTGCCATACTTTATATTTTCAATTAGTGTAAACAGCATCTAAAATATTCTACACTGCAAATAGCCACTGCCTTCTATAGAGGTGTAAAATGCAAACTTTATATAGTGGTACTGGACTAACAAAACCCTAAGTTTGAACAATTTACTATACCAATACCATACAAATGTTTTTATGGACTTCTGAACTTGCACACATTATTACTGTTGAATTAATTTCATAACGCTGTTTCTCGCGGCCACGTACACAATGCTTTAAAGCTAAAATTTGGGCTTTGTGCTAGAGTTAATGGTCTAAAAATATACTAATTTTAGAGAGCTTTTACTGCACCAGGATTTTTAAATGACACTTTAAATTCACATAGCCATATAAATGACATGGCTTATGATAGTAAAATGCCCAAAATCTGAATTTCGTTAAATCATTACCTCTAGAGTCCTTCGTTTTAACGCATCCTCTATAGTGGCCAAGAAAAAGGAGTTTTGTTGTGTGAATTTTGTTGTGTGAATTTTGTTGTGTTGTGACGTGGAGATTTCGTTGTGTTTTGGCTTATTTCCATTGTGAGACGATTTCATTGTGTTGTGGAGATTTCATTGTGTTTTGGCTTATTTCCATTGTGTTGTGCTAATTTTGCTGTGTTGTGGCTTGTTTCCATTGTGTTGTAGCAATTTCGTTGTATTGTGAAGATTTTGTTGTGTTGTGCACTACTGGGTCACCGTAGAGGGGAGATATCCATGTCTTGTTGTGAAGATTTTGTTGTGTTGTGCACTACTGGGTCACCGTAGAGGGGTGAAATCTTTTCTGGGCTTTAGTGTTCTGTCACGTAGCACTGCTACATTAATCCACAAAAGATGCATAACACAGGCAAATACACACGAGGGCTTAAATACACAGGGAATAGTAATCATTGGGACAAGCAACAGGTATGCAATCAGAAACAATGAATGAGAACTCAGGTTAAGAGGAACAAGAAAAACAAAAAAACAGAAAATGACCGTGACTCCCTCTCTCTCTCTCAAAATGTTTTTACCTTCAAAGTAAAACTTCCACCAATATCTGTTGATTGTGCCAGGGCTCTGGTAGTGATGCGCCCCTGGAGAGTATTATTTACAGAGTTGAAGAAGCTTGATTTTCCAGCACCTTGCGGTCCATACAGAAGAATTCTCAGAGTCTTGATTTCTTTGTTCCCAGGTTTGAAGTTGATTATTGTTGACAAAATATTTTGTCTATCTTTGCTAGAAAGAGAATTTTAAAAGGTAGGAAACACACTGTTGGCCTACAAATGCAGCCTCATGTCATTTTAGAAACTGAAAGATGAAAAGCATCAACACATATTAACTTGTATAGCAACACAAAATGCAAGATGCAGAATAAAACTAAATAAAACAAAAGTGAAAGATGAAAAGCATCAACTTAAGTTAAGATGCTGAATAAAACTGTGCAAATAAAACTTCAGAATTGAACAGAAGTGCACAGATTCTGAACCGTTTACATTTTTGTAAAGGCTTATTTTGCTCATTGTCTATATGAGAAAAAAAAATACCTCAGAGTGCTACGAGAGGCATGCAATCAGTATGTAGGAAAAATGTTGCCTGAGACAATGGTCATTCAGTTTAGTTGTCATTACACAAATATGACCATGGAATGTTGTGATTAAACAATCAGAATCAAGTTTTCCAGAGGGTCGAGTAATAAGCTTAACTTGGAAAAAGGTCTTCAGAGCTTATTTCCAGTCCAAGGACCTCCAGGGTTCATCATACTCTGTTTAACCAAACAGAATATTTAATCAATATAATTTTTTATTTTTATTTTGGCCTATTTTACTGTTGTAATTTTTATCTATATTGCACATTATATTTTGCTGGGTTCCAACATAATTTAACCACTGTTTCATATCTTAATTGTTCTGTTTCACTGAGAAAATGAGAGAAAATAAATCATTTACAGTACCTGAAGATGGAGCAGTGGGTTTTTAAAATGTTTTTAATGTCCACATCCTAGCAACACCTTTGTCCTTATCTTAAAGTAAAGATAAAATATTGTTTAACAATTTAAATTATCAAAATTCAACAAAAGCTGAGAACAAATCTTCCATTGTATGTAGTGTGAAGGTTTCTTTCCATCCTAAACAACTTTTTGTCATCCGGCGAGCCTAAAAGACCACATTTAAAAGAGCAAATATGCACTGTCATCAGCGTGCAGGGAAGTTCTGCACGAGGTGCAATGACGGTGCAACATTTGCAACAACGCCACGAATTTGCTCTTTTAAATTTGCTCTTTTAGGCCCGCCAGATGGCGGCAGGGGACAAGCTGAGATCCGCACGGTTGCTGAAGCGGCTCGAGAGCGAAGCGGGAACAGCAGAGCGGCGCAGGTCACGGAGTCAGCTTCTATCCGCTGCGAAGGTGTGTCAGAGTGTGTTTCCTGTCTGGGTAAGTCCCACGCAGAAGCCGCTCTCACAGAGATGGAGTGTTCTCACTGCGAGAACATGAGTCTCTCTTCTCTGCACGCTTGGATCGCTTTCTTTTCAGAAAGTGACTCCGCCCCTCGCGCCCTCCCGTTTCATTCCTCCCAGGAGCCTGTGAGGAAGAAACAGCGGGACAGAGGGACTCAGCGCCTGGATGCGAGGGAGCTCACGCCGGCTCAAGCCCGCGTGCCTCACTCTCACCACGTTGAGATGACTCTCCTGTTCTCTTTTCACACCCAGACCAGCATCCCTCTGCTAGCGCGAGTGACATGGTCTCGTTTGGTGGAATCGAGGACGATTCTCTAGATGATAGCATGTCTCAGAGGAGTGAATGCTCCATCCGCAAATGGTGCTAAGAATCTGGGAGATCTTTGGCAGGGCAGAGATTGACCTCTTTGCCTCAAAAGACAACTCTCATTGCCCAACTTTCTTTTCTAAAGACATGGACGATTCTTCTTTCGATTCTTCTCTCTCAGGCGAACAGGACAATTTGGCACCCCCAGCCCGAAATGTGGGCTCTGCACCTATGGGCTCTCGATGGGAGCCAACAAACCTTCCTGAGGGTGTCTTAAATACTATCTCACAGGCTAGAGCCCCGTCTACGAGACCCCTCTATACCCTTAAATGGTCTGTCTTCTCCGCCTGGTGCACAACCCGTGGCAAGGACTCAACTTCCTGTGACATATCGGTGATATTGTGCTTCCTCCAATAGCTGTTGGATAAGGGCCTTTCCCCTTCCACACTCAAGGTCAATGTGGCAGCTATAGCAGCCTTCCACGGTCCTATAGCCAGACAGTCCGTGGGCAGGAACAACTTGGTTATTCGCTTTCTTAAGGGATCTAGGAGACTTAACCCGCCTCTGCCCCTTACTGTTCCCGCATGGGATCTGCCCATGGTCCTGAGGGCCCTTAAGGGTTCCCCCTTTGAGCCGCTACAGTCAGCAGACCTACAGACACTATCGCTAAAAAACCGTCCTGCTACTGGCATTAGCATCAGTTAAGCGAGTAGGTGACTTCCAGGCACTCGCGATAAGCCCTGCCTGCCTTGAGTTCGGGCCCAGCGACTCCAAAGTCGTCCTGAAGCCAAGGCAGGGATATTTACCCAAAGTGCTCCACACTCCGTTCAGAGCACAGGTTATCACTCACTCTGTGCTTCCTCCTTCAGCAGAGGACCAGGAGTTTAACCTTATCTGCCCTGTCAGGGCTCTGAGAATTTACATTGTGCGTTCTGCTGCATTCAGGCAGTCGGAACAACTCTTCGTATGCTTCGGTGGCCACACCAAAGGGCTTCCGGTCACGAAGCAGAGAATTTCTTGGTGGTTAGTTGACGCTATTGTGCTAGCATACTCCTCCTTGGGTCTACAATGCCCCATAGGAGTAAGAGCACATTCCACAAGAGGTGTAGCCTCCTCTTGGGCATGGTCTAGCGGGGTGTCCATATCAGACATCTGTCCGGCGGCCGGCTGGGCCTCGCCGTCCACCTTTGCTAGGTTCTATAACTTGGACGTCCCGGCCTTACAGGTTTGGGTCCTTTCTGCTTAAATAGACATGCACTGGCCGCAAGGCAGGTACAATCCTTCAGGCTTTTGCCTCATGCTCTTGGCCCTCCTCAGTGCTGAGGCTGTACAGGATCGTTTTTGGGAACGATTATCCAAGGCCAGACTGACCTTATACTTGGTCCCGCTGAGTTGAAGCTCTGTTAAATTAATTCTTTACTGTCTATTTTTCAATCTTAAAATCAATTTTATACACCATAATTTTCGTTTCTATAAACTGTGTATATATCCCCATAGTATTCTACAACAAAAACAATCGGAGCACCTTGTTATCACTAGTTTTATTTTGATTTGCCGAGTCTGCTACTAGCTTATAGCCTGTTAGCATTGCTAGTGCATTTGCCGCTAATCTTGCTTACATTTCTTACACTCCATTCTTTTACTCACTGTTATTTGCTTTAAATGGCGGATTTGAGTCTACCTTTGAGTGCAGGTGAGGACACGTTCGAGCTGCACTCGGTGCAGACCGCGAGACGGAACGCGACGCCGTGATCGTCAGAGACTCCATCGTCCAGCACGTCCGTGCTGCCCTAGCTAAATGTAAAGTGCACACTCACTCTTTTCCGGGTGCACGTTTTCTCTATGTTTCTGCACAGATACCCGCGATCCTGAAGGGTGACGAGAGCATCGGCACTATCGTGCTGCACGTGGGCGAGAATGACACCAAGCTGCGGCAGGCGGAGACTCTGAAGAGGGACTTCAGGAGCCTGATCGAGACAGTATGCAGCACATCGCCCGCGATGAGGATCGTCGTGTCAGGACCGCTTCCCACATATCGACGAGGACACGAAAGATTCAGTAGACTGTTTGCTTTAAATGAATGGTTATTGTCATGGTATAAAGAACAGATACTGCTCTTTGTTAATAATTGGAATCTTTTCTGGGAGCGACCTAGGCTTTTTAGTGCTGATGGCCTGCACCCCAGTAGAGTCGGAGCAAAACTCCTGTCGGACAACATCTCCAGGATGCTACGCTCCACATGACTAGTAAGCCAATTCTCAAATAACGGCTATGATGGCGTTTGTTCTACCCACTTAAATGATAGAAGTACTTGTGTTGTCCAATCTATAAAGACTGTGTATGTTCCCCGAATAGTGAGGTCAAAATATAAATTTAATGCAGGATCTAAAAAAAAACCTGATCGTGATTAAACCGGAAAAATAAATGTATAAAAAATGTTTTTTAAGCTTGGGCTCTTAAACATTAGATCACTCGCACCCAAAGCAGTTACTGTATATGAAATGATCACAGAGAATAGTTCTGATGTACTCTACTTGACTGAAACCTGGCTCAAACCAAATGACTATATTATTGGTCTAAATGAGTCTACTCCACCAAGCTACTGTTATAAGCATGACTCCCATCAGATTGGTCGTGGTGGCGGTGTTGCAACAATATATAATGATATTCTCAATGTTACTCAGAAAACAGGATACAGGTTTAACTCATTCGAAATAATTCTGCTTAATGTTACACTGTCAGATAAACAAAATAAATCTCTCCTATCTCTTGCTCTGGCTACTGTGTATAGACCACCAGGGCCATATACAGATTTCCTAAAAGAATTTGCATATTTCCTCTCAAAACTATTGGTTAATGTTGATAAAGCGCTAATTGTCGGAGACTTTAACATTCATGTTGATAATATAAATGATGCGTTAGGACTTGCGTTTACAGTCTTAATAAACTCTTTTGGAGTCAAGCTAAACATAACCAGACCCACTCATCGTTTTATTCATACGCTAGATTTAATTATATCGCATGGAATTGATCTTAATGATATATAGTACCTCAAAGTAACGATGTTACTGACCACTACCTTGTATTGTGCATGCTGCCTATTACTGATATTAACTATATGGCTCTCCGTTATCGTCCGGGTAGAACTATTGCTCCAACCACCAAAGATAGATTCACAAATAAACTGCCTGATTTATCTCAACTGCTCTCTGTACCCATAAATACACATGAACTAGACGAAATGACTAGCAACATGGGCACTATCTTCTCTAATACATTAGAAGCTGTTGCCCCCATCAAATTAAAAAAGGTTTGAGAAAAACGTACTGCGCCATGGTACAACAGCAATACCCATTCTCTTGAGAAAGAAACGTACTTTAATTATTATTAATTATTATTATATAAGCGTGCGCTCGCCACAGGATTCTCAGGTTACTTCGACTGAAGCGACGACAGCTACATAGCAGCTACATAGCACGGCAAGCAACTCAGTACTCGTTCCCATATCTCAGGGAACCAAGGTTATGTTAGTAACCGAGTACGTTCCCTTTCGATACTTCACTCGTACTGCGT